GGTGGCTCGTGTGTCACACGACCACCCCCTCTCGCCTGCCCTGCTCCCGCCTGGGAAAATCGTTGTCGTTTTTCCGGGATGCGTGAGCCCTCGTCGTCCGTTTCCACCACGGTGGTGGTGGCACGAAACAATTCCCCCGTTTTCCACGTCGATATTTTCCGTCGTCATTGTTTCACCGAGTTGGATATTTCGGCAGAAGAAGAGCGTGAGTGGTGGTTTGTTTGATATTTGAACGAGAATCGGGGGTGAGGGGAGGGGATAGCGAGAGGTGAGAGGGTCGACGAATTATGAAGACTGTTTCTGGTGGAGTGAATCGGGGGAGAAAGGGGGTGGTGGGTGTTTAAAATGGAGGGTAGTTAGTCTTTTAAAGCTGCATTCTTGAAAGTAAGCGAGGTTAGTCTACTTTTTTTACGGTTAGACTTTTGTTTGATGTTCTGATAAAGGGTGAAGGAGAAAAGGTTAATTCTCGTTTTCGTTTCGGAATGAAAAATGCATCTGGTTGATTTCTACGTCGAGATGCATTTGTTGAGAATTTGTAGACGTTATACAGGTATTCGTATGTCTTTCGTGTTCACGTATGTACGATTTAGATTGCCTATATGATACGTAGATCAAACACGTATGTACAGACGTATGAAGTTTTATCATTTTTGAGTGAAAAATTGTTTCAATTCTTTAAAACTAAGTATTGCAGAGAATGACAGTACAGTTAATATATAATAAGAGAAAGAGAGATCGAATAGGTTAAATAATTCAAGAATTATTACAATCGTAAATTTTGCATACATGAATATTCACAAATTCCAATGAATCGAACTATGACCAAGCATTATTTATTTTCTTTTTTGCAAATGTTAAAAGAAATTACTTACAATCTAATAAAAGGTTATAAATGCAGGAATAACTTTATCAAGATCTTATCATTAACAAATAATATCCTTAAAATCTAATCACCCCTATAATTCTAATCTTGTAATAACCAATTTCTAAATCAAATTTGATTTCTCGCCAAGTTTCTACCTTCAATTATCATATTACCTCGTTTAAATCTACTCCTGGACTGGAATCGAAATTAATCAAACTAAGAAGATCGTGTTCTCGAAGAGAACGTGATCTTGTCACTTGACAGCACGCGTGTGCCACGCGCCAAACGCGTTACGACGAAATCGCGTTCGAGGAACGCCACCTGACCCCGGGTCAGGCCTCCATGGTCAGAAGAGGAGGGTGGTTCCGCGCGTAAACTGCCCCTAAACCGGCTTAGAACCCGCCCCGACGAAACTGGCTGCTCCAATCGGCTTCCAGTCTCTGCCATATGACCCGAATACGAGCGGAACGCGCAGGTCCGGCACTCGAAGAACTGGACATCGCGCTGACCTACCCCCTTTCACCCTTGTCCGCACGTGCTCTCGATAATTCCTCTGTCCAGGCACAATGCGCTACTTTTCCTTTTTTTTTTTTTTCGTAGAATAAGCTTAGATCCTGTTCTCGAATCTTTTATGGTTTAATTTTCGATGAAACTTGTTCGATGAAGAGAATTAAAAATTAAAAATTATTTTTCGATCGATACAATTATATATTTCGAAAATAATTCTTCTAAATTCTTCCGTGGAAATTTATTGTATATAATTATTCTTTGTCGCTAATAGAATGATATAAAACATTATTAAATTTCATCCATCGTGTATCCCCTAACAGTCATCAACATTACCTACAATATTAACGCTACATCTACACGTACAATTCTAAATAATTCTAACAAACTACTCAACCCTCTAACACCCAGAATAACAGTAATTTTCCATAGGCTGTCGTATACCTATCCCGTCGCAATTTTGTCGTTCCGGCCAAGAATAAAGGAGGAATCGTCAATAATTGGAGGGTAAGCCCAAGTCTCCAAGCTCGTCTTAAAGGGGAAGTTTCGCGGGAGGAAAGTTCCTCGAGCCAGTTTCTTCCTGTCCTCCTTCTCCTCCTCCTCCTTCTTCTTCTTCTTCCTCGTCCTCCTCTCTCTCGCCCCCTCTCTTTTTTTTTCTCGCGTCCTCTTTCAGAGCGAGCTGGCGTCGTGCCAACTAGGTGAAAAGTGTGGAAAGTGAACTCGCGATTTACGGCGGCACGCCGAGAAAGAGAGGGAGGGGGGCGAGAAAGGGGTGCAAGCAAGCCGGGAGAGGGGGTAAGAGGGAGCGGCAACGGAAGTAGGACGGCGAGGGTAGGGTGGTAGGGCTTGTTCGCTTAGAAATTTATTCAAATTAAGCAGCCGGGGAGTTTACGAACCGGCGGAAAAATCGAAAGTGCCGGGATAATTGGCGACGGTGAAAGTCGACGACTTTGAA